TGAAGCATCCCACACCTTTCACCAAATGTGTTTCATATACTCTGAAAATACAGGCAAATGGGGCATTGATTTTAGGTTCGTCAGGGGTACACGCGGCCATGGCACTAGTCATGATTTCCCAAGGCGCCATTTTACGGCTGAGATCAGTGTCAATAAAATTCATCCGGGTGTTGCCTCGATCAACATGTTGTTGAACTCCCAATCTCTTCCCTAAGTAAACAGCTGTCTTTGTGATGTCAGCACAGGCTATAGGCCTAAGATATGGTGTTTGTGTGTGTGTGTGTGTGTGTGTGTGTGTGTGTATGTGTGTGTGTGTGTGTGTGTGTGTGTGTGTGTGTGTGTGTGTGTGTGTGTGCGTGCGTGCGTGCGTGTGTATGCGTGTGTGTGTGTGTGTGTGTGTATGTGTGTGTGTGTGTGTGTGTGTGTGTGTGTGTGTGTGTGTGTGTGTGTATGCGTGTGTGTGTGTGTGTGTGTGTGTGTGTGTGTGTGCGTGCGTGCGTGTGTGTGTGTGTCATTCGCCAGCCAGGTTTATATTCTCGTTAACGACGTGATGGAAATTGTAGATGTGGCTTTTTGTATTGTTACCTACCGTGACCCCATCAATACTACGTCATGTTGGGAAGATTTTCTCTTTTGCTTTTGAGTTGATAAGATACAATGAGTGGGGTGGCTGATATAATATTAGAAACATCCCAAATATCAAATATTATTTATATTTAAACTAAACCAATAAAATATAACAGTAACTTTGGTAAAGGAATATTTTCGTCTGATCCAGATTTTTCAAATGAAAAGTGTACATTTTATGACCCTATTATTAGAAGAAATGGGGATCATGTTATGTTCCAATGTAGGCTAATAATAGGTTCATGAGACATATGCCTCCACTTATTCGATTAAATGAGAGGAGAAGCCTAGAAAACACATTCACATTGATAGACAAATGTAATTATATCCAATATAAAACGTTTACCTTTAATGTGATGCAATTACTGTAGGCTAAAGCTGTAGGCTAGTAAAAACGTATTTCAGTGTGTCAATATTTTACTAAATAGAGGTCAAGTCACCTGAAATGTCGTTCTATTTATGTGCATTTTAGAAAGGTTAAAAAACGAATGAAACATATATAAAACTATACTACTATTAGGCCTACGTTATGTTAAGGATGGAATAATGTACAAATATTAGAGTTGCATTCTGCCTTGTCAACTACACATCAACCACAGACATGCTAAAATCACGGCCAACATGTATTTTATAATAGGCTACCCACTTTGAAAATATGTATAGGCCTATTTGAATCTTTGGTCTCAGAGCAGACCTTGTTTTGCGTATCCATAACATAAGTTATCCATTACAGGCAAATATTTGTAATGGCATGTAGGCCTAATGTCACTTTATTTCACTTGCATGACATTTGGAACTCAACAGTTTCAAGGCTAAATCATTCAAAAGAGGTGTCAGGCTCAATTTTCGTTTGCATTTGATCATTTGGGTAGCCTGCCCTATTCTATGGCCGTGATTTTAGTTGAAATAGGCCTACACACTGTTTTAGAGAAACGTGCGTAAATGCCTTTGCAAAGTTCCAATTAAAGCCGCTTAGCCCTACTACTCGTGCTGTGAAAATGTATGTTCATAAGATCATGCAAACATTTTTTGTATAAATGAACCAGCCTAATGGTCAAGTAGGAGGTTCGTGCGATAAAAGGACATTTAAAATGGCATAGCCTATATGCATCAACTAAACACACCAACATGGCCGAAACCATGGTCAAATGTCATCTTGTGCCATGAAGTTAATTTTTTCCTCCGACGAGCACTTGGTACCCGCACCTCTTTCCAAGTTGCTGCTAGGTGATGATAATCTATCTCTCTGCTTTAACAGGCCAGTTGCTAGGGTAACCGCGTTGCATAATCAGCCACAGCTCACAACACACTGTATGATAAAGAAAACTCGATCTTTATCATACACCGCGCGGATTTTTTTATATTCCTGATATACTGCATAAAATCCTAATGTGAGCGAAAGAACACAGAAATACATTCGTTTTTCGTTATCGTGTGAGGAGATCATGAGCAATAGTGAACAGAACTCTCCAAAAGGAGCACCGAATAACACGGAGATTTACATTTTACATTTTAGTCATTTAGCAGACGCTTTTATCCAGAGCGACTTACAGGAGCAATTACGGTTAAGTGCCCTCCCGAGTGGCGCAGTGGTCTAAGGCACTGCATCGCAGTGCTAGCTGTGCCACTAGAGATCCTGGTTCGAATCCAGGCTCTGTCGTAGCCGGCGCGACCGGGAGACCCATGGGGCGGCGCGCAATTGGCCCAGCGTCGTCCAGGGTAGGGGAGGGAATGGCCGGCAGGGATGTAGCTCAGTTGATAGAGCATGGCGTTTGTAACGCCAGGGTTGTGGGTTCGTTTCCCACAGGGGGTAGGAAAAAATATATATATATATAAAAGAAATTGAAAAAATAGAACCAAAATAAATAAATGTATGCATTCACTAACTGTAAGTCGCTCTGGATAAGAGCGTCTGCTAAATGACGTAAATGTAAATGTTAAGGGCACATCGACAGATTTTTCACCTAGTCGGCTCGGGGATTAGAACCAGCGACCTTTCGGTTACTGGCACAACGCTCTTACCCACGAAGCTACCTGCCTTGCTGGCGCATAGTGAAGAACTACGGAAAGGTATTCAACAGGGCACCACATATGTTTCCATCCCACTGGGCACATACTGGTTGAATCAACGTTGTTTCCACGTCATTTCAATGAAATGACGTTGAACCAGGGTGGAATAAAAGTTGAATTGACGTCTGTGCTCAGTGGGATTTGTGTTTTAATCGAATCTGCTATTGGTTTGCACATTACAATGGGTAGGCCTAGATATTTAATCAATCATTTGTTGTCGCTGTTTATACAACTCAGAATAAGGGATGTTGTTTTATTTCGTTCCAACACCTTCATGTATCGCACAAGCTTATTGCTATAATGTGTGCGGTATGATGAATACAAAATATAACGTTCTTCGAATATTTCGATAGTGATACTTTCCTCTTTTGCATTTTTGAATATTTGTATAGTAACTGCAATGAAATGCTTATTTTTCCTACATGCATATGGCCATTAACGCTATTCTTGCATCCATACAACATCACTTTTAGACTAGTCAGTGGTTAGCCGAAATAATGGGCACATCCCTTTAATTTGTTTCTACTTTTCGCTTCTGTCTCTTGTATTACAATGGATTAGGGCTAAATCTGTATGTGGAAGGATTAAGGCTAAAGACGGTGAATCTACGAAATGACATAGGCATATGTCTTATCTTTTTGCTCCTGAACTCCACAAAGCAAGTTTTTAAATTTGTAAGCACAGTTTTAATCGGGTTGCAATTTCTCCATTCATTGCATAAGGGTTAAGGATATTAAAGACCTTTTGTTGTCAAGCATTCCTCCCTACTTTCTTTGTTTGCTGTAGAGCGGAGGCCTACCTGAACGTTTAAAAACGTTTCTGATATTTTACAAAATATCAGAACATTATTGTCTTAAATGCTTAAAGATATGTTTGCGTTTTGGGGGGGATGGTTTAGATTGTACCAACTACGCCTATGTAACAACCGGCCCATATCTGTGCATTATGTGACAAATATGTATACGAGGTTTGAAACCTGTTAACGATATTTTTATAAATATTACTGCAATTTCTAGGGATTGAATTGGCTTCCATGGGCTGACATATAGGCTACAGGTTATAATCTTGGTGAGCAAGACACCTTGTATTGTGGCGTGAGACAAGGCTGCGTATTCTAGTTTTACAGAACCTATTGAATTAATAATGAATTTGATGCACCTGTTCGTGACGTGGCTCCCTCGCTGTTGTCCAGTGCTTGCTCTTGGTGGCAGGAAAAATGGTCCATTAATTTTTCATAAATTGCCCACAAACGAACAATAGGAATGTGATTCCTTAGACGGATGAAACACGAAGTGCTTGGACTTTTGAATAAATAAGAAAGCCAAGTGATAACATCTCAAATCGTATTTAAATAGCCAGTGATGCAATTTCACTCGACAAGTGTTTGTTTATAGTTTAACATGAAGTCGCTTGTTGTGAGTTGTAATGAAACATTCTTTGCTGAAAGAGGGCCATTTTGCTTTCGTGCTTTGTGTTGTCTTGATGAAGGCCATGGGTAAAAATTGGCCTGCAAATTCTAAATTGTCATATTCTGTCTATTGATGTTCAGTTAATTATATGAGTTAGAGCTAATCCTGAACTTGATGAAGACATGGGCTGACTATTAGCTGTAATACGTTGGAACGATTGGTCCTCTGAGAGATATGGTCAAATGTCATGCGTAAATTAGTAATGATAAAGTATACAAATTTGGCCATATGGAAGGCCGGATTCATCATTCCTACATATCCTACCGTGTCTTATTGCTAATTCTAGAGCAAATAGGCTTCTTGCAGCATATAGGCCTACCTGAAACAATTTATAGTAATTATGTGTCAATGTGATCATTTGCACGGTATCATCAGCATCCCTAAATTGTCAATAAACTCATGTAAATAGGCCTACTGAACATACAACGTGTAGCATTTAGCTCTGACTCAAACTAAATCTGACATCAAAACACATTTCACCTCATCCAAGTGTGCATTTTCAGCGTAATTTCATGCGTAAAACATGTTTGGTGGGAAAGGCTTGGATGGTGTTTTGTTAATCAAATGCGGGAATATTGCCAACATATTCTGTGTTCGAACCGTGGATCAAATTTAGCTGTGGTCTCGTTTACATTAATGAAACCCTCCTTGCCCACTCCGGGAAGCGGGCCTGCTTCCACGTGATTTGGAAATCGGATGTAAAGTAAAACCTCATGAGCAGCCTTTCGGACAGCGTTGATTGGGCGGCTGAGCATACACAAGGGGATTTGACCAGTGTCGCTACAGAGGGCTTGTTTTTTTCTCTCCTTTTTATTATCCCTAGTGATTCTTTAGTGGGAACAAATGGACCAGTGTTTTAAAGAGAGAGGGACCCATGCGCCTGTTGTAACCTCAAACAGAGGGATAGCAATAGGATAGCCCATGGTAGCAAGAACTAGAAGGGAAACAGGGAGAGATAGAGTGGGAAAGGATTAGAGAGAGAGAGAGTTTTCCGGGATCCACTGTCGTTTCTGGTCTGGACTTGGATCAGCTGGTTACCATGCAAAGTAAGAGTGTTTGTTTCATGGCATGCGCTTTTTCGAGGAGTGATAGTAGAAGGGTACTTTTTGATGGCTTCTTCATTGATTCAGCAGATCAAACCCATGATAACTCAATCAGCCAAAAGGTGTTGGCTGTGGTCTTCGTAATATTCGATGCTATCCCACTGGGCACACACTGGTTGAATTAACGTTGTTTCCACGTAATTTCAATTTAATTACATTTAACCAACTGAATTTACGTATGTGCCCAGTGAGATGGCTTTACTAGTTGGATTTCAGCTGTGTGTGTTCTTTTGTAATGCTGCACATCTGGCACCCACACGTGGAAAATGGCAACGTATGTTGCCAGTTTTCAATAATCATGGGAGGAACAAAATAACCATTGGCGTTTACTGTAAGTTATGGGTTATGAAAGAAATGATGATGATGATGATGATGATGAGGAGGAGGAGGAGGAGGAGGGGGAGGAGGAGGAGGAGGAGGAGGAGGACAAAAACGAATGAATGGCTGTAATTTATAGGCAGCATAGTGTATTTACTTACATCTGATACTACTGAAATAATTGTGTCCCTACATTTATACATCAATAATGAGTCCACAACACCTTAGTCAACTTAAATCCACTCTTCGAAATGTGCCTTTTGGTGATGGTTTTTCAGTTAGCCCATGTTACATCGGCGATGCATTTATGCTTTTCATTCAGCCAGATTATTGTATTAGGCCTACATCTTTTTAATTGAATAGATAACAATTGAAGAGTTTATTTCCAAAAAGCTATATCCACCAGTTTATTAAATGTGTGTTTTTTCATCAGAAATGATTGCTTATGGGTACCTTCATCTTCATATATGTGTAAAATATTACTGTTCTGCGATGTGTAATTCATAGATTTTAGATGTGTATGCAAATGTGTTTTTTGCAAAACGCTATATATCCATTATTTAGCTGGAATGGAATGTTCTTATCCTGCATATTTGACTGTGATATGTGGTTGTCTCACCTAGCTATCTTAAGATGAATGTACTTTAAGTGCTCTGGATAAGAGCATCTGCTAAATGACTAAAATGTAAAAGTTTAACATATAGATCACATATTACTGTATTGAATAAAAACATATATTCCATATTGATGTCACAAATGTATCATTTGTACATTTCTTTATTAAAAATGTAGTTATTAAATCTAGCTCTACTACTTATTTATCTCAGCGTGAGGCGGATATATAGCATTTTGCAAAAATAATTTGTCTCTCTGAAATTGTTAAACCATCAAGTGATAGATTTTAAACAAAAACATGTCTGTCATTGAACAACCCCCGTGCCATGATTATATAGTGGAAAAAAAACTAATCAATCTCTTTCATCATTTATTTAAATAATAAAAGCTAATTTACTAACATTTCTGAAAATGGATATATAACGTTTTGGAATGAAACTCTTCAATTCTCAACTATGTGACAATATATAGGCTATCGATAAAAATAAAATTATACAATATTATAGATACTAGATCAGTGACAAAATTGTCTCATATTTGCCCTGAAATAGACTGCATTGTGGTTTTCCCATTCGTTTCTATTTACTCATCCCTTTCGATGCAAATGTATACATGTGAAGTTTCAGTAGTGTCAACTATAAAACAAAATATGTAAATGTTATTAGATGTTATCCCAAGTAAGTATATTCTAAATAGGCCTAGCTATTTTTGAGTCGTAAAACAATTTGACCACTGTATAATTTTTCTCGGTGCCACATGATCTCTTAAGCAGTGTTTAAATTCAAGATGGCTTCATGGTTATCCTGTCTTCTCCCCTCCAGAGATTCCTGTATGCGCGGGCTGTAATCAACACATCGTGGACCGCTTCATCCTCAAAGTGCTGGACCGCCATTGGCACAGCAAGTGCCTGAAATGCAGCGACTGCCAATCCCAACTAGCGGACAAGTGCTTCAGCCGGGGAGATCGCGTCTACTGCAAAGAAGACTTCTTTAAGTGAGTGCAAGAAATACGCCATGAAATACATAATTTATTATTTAATGAAAGACAAATTATAGAAAATATTTTAGGTGTGTAGCCTAATATTTCATGGAAAACAAGCCTAATTATTCGATAGAATCACACGGTCTGCATTTTATTTTGAGGTTGTGAATATGATGAAACACTTGTCAATTTATTGATGATAACCTTCTTATTTCCTAAAAGGAGATTTGGGACCAAATGCGCCGCGTGTCAGCAAGGTATTCCGCCGACGCAGGTGGTGAGGAGGGCGCAGGATTTCGTGTACCACCTGCACTGCTTCGCGTGCATCGTGTGCAAAAGGCAGCTCGCCACAGGTGACGAGTACTACTTGATGGAGGACAGCAGGCTCGTGTGCAAGGCTGACTACGAGACCGCCAAACAGAGAGGTGAGAGGTCACGGTATACCTGAACATAACTGTATCACACCTAATTAGTGTCCCCAAGATCTGAGTGCCTAGACTCTAACGAGTAATTACGCATGAATCCACTGTTTTTGATATTTCAGCCATATCAAAGAATGTGGATATCCTACAATCCCCACATCTTAATTTCTGTCTTCTAAATAACAACGTGAAAAAGGATTATACCTATTATAGGCTATCAAGCACCGCATCACCCAATAAGTTATGTAATGTTTTACTTATTTGATCCATTTACCTTTTATTGAGCAACTGCTTGGAGCTGTGAACTTGATCTCCAAGACTATGAGGTCACCCATAAACACTTGACCCACCTGCGCTAATTGCGTCGTATCCCGTATCCCAATCGATAGCAATATGGATACAGCCTATCCAATTGCAGTGAAGAGAGAAAACGTAGTTCATTCTGTTTTATTTTATTAGCAGACCGACAGTGACTAAAAATATTAAATTCAGCCTTATCTGCACAACAGATTATTCAGAAGGTTTGTTTCAAAGGTGTTAAAAGCGCTGGTGACCATGTTTTGCTAAAATAGCTCATAGGCTATAATAAGGCCTCATATTTCAAGTAAAATAATTGAATTAGGCTGATATAATGATGTCAAATGCTATGACCAAAATGGCCATGTTTTCTATCACAAACGTCTTTTTGGGAAAACGAAATCAAGTTTACGAGATTTTTTTTTCTCACTAAATTTGAAATTAATAATTGTTTAATAAAAAAGGCTTATTTATTGCATGCTAAATTGATTACAACTGACCTCAGAGAATCTGTTTTAACACAACGAAATCCAGCAAGTGTAGGCCTACATTTTCTTTGTGAATAGTTTATGCGTTACTCAAGTTTTATCTTCCCCATCTGTTTGTGTGAATTTACTGCCTAAACCAACTGCTGATTTACGCATTGAGTTAAGATGACTTTTCATGGAAAAACACACACGTTTATTTTGGTAATGAGAGGGCGCCATTACTTGTGCATTTGCCCACTTGGAGGATGGTCTTGCATATGTTTTTGTTCGTAGGCTTTTTGTTTATGAGTTAGCATTTATTTGGGTTTAATTAGGCCTACGAACGTAATAAGTCAGAAAATGTCTATGGTGCCAAATTATGAAGTTTACTTGTCTGTCCATTGTTTTCTACAATTTTATTTTTTCAGTTCTGGTATGTCGCTTACACTTTTCAATGGCTGAACATGCATATCTATAAATAGCCTATTTGTCAACAGCTTGGAATCGAATATGAGGTCTTTTAGCATAAAGTAGCCCTATTGGGGTGCATTTTTGTGTAAGGTCTGGTAAACATTGTGTGTCTTGTATTTTCTATTCAGAGGCAGACTCAACAGCAAAAAGGCCACGAACGACTATCACCGCCAAACAGCTCGAGACCCTGAAAAACGCTTACAACAACTCTCCCAAACCTGCCCGCCACGTACGAGAACAGCTATCGTCAGAAACCGGGCTCGATATGCGGGTTGTTCAGGTAACTATCCATTCCCCTCCATTATAGACCATTTCATTAGCGTCCTTATTTTATTATTATCTAAGGACATGCATGGAATTCCATTGAAATAGTGCTTGAAATGGCCTCCCAGCGGGTTTGAATGGTTAGAATTTACGGTGAGATGGATTAAAATGATGTCCACACACTTGAAAGTCAGAACTGTAAGAACGAGCTCGTTAACAATGCTAAGAGGGAGCCTCGCATATTGTCTGTCTGTGAAAGATCCCTACTGTGGTTGACTATGGTCATATATATTGTTTTATTTGCAAGGACACTTAAAGTAGGTACGGAAGCCACTATCGCGCTTCATTATTCACGGAAGGGGAAATGGGGGTTAAGAGGGTTCACTTCGGCTCCATATCATTAATGAAATAGGCCTTAGCCAATATGTAGGGGAGAAAGGATAAATTCAATTAGGCTTTGCATGATGTGGATTGTAAACAACAAAATATGTTCTTACATTGAATGGTTCGTCAATCAAGTGTCTCTTAAAAATGAAATACAAATGTTTTCAACATTATCACACACATTTACAGCTACAATTTAGAACGTGGCCATAGTGAAATGTTAATAATTAAAAGAAACTTCGGTTAGTAGATCCTAGTGTGAGGGTAACATGCAACCTGTCTGCTCCCAGTGTTAAGGACAACTTGTAGTTGTCGCGAAGTTAATTAAGCGCGTGATAAATCTCAGGGCATGTCGGTCCCAACATTAGTGTTCTGCCCCACTGTTTTAATCTCCCTCTTGAGTTAAAAAGAGGTGACCTGGTCCCCAGACAGTCCTTGAAAATTAATTTTGTTTTAATGTTCATGTGCTGTACCTGACCGCTTAAAAGCATTGCAGTTGCACTGAAGAAAGAGTCAAGAAAAATGATGTCTGGAATTGTCCAGTAAGTGGAAAGGAGTTTGGCATCAGGACAGATATGTCCTATAGTCTATTAACGAAAAATGCAGTTCAAAAGAAACAAAATTGATCATGTTATAAAACGGAATACTTGTGCATTGCCTACTCTTCTGCAAATGTAACACTAAATTATATATTTCTAATTTTAAGAAATCAATTTAACTTCACTCACAAGTGTATTGTAGGAGAAGGCTTATTGGAGGAGCTGCCTTCAACGGGAAATTCCCAACTTCCCAATTATATACCTCAAATAAATAAAACAAAACCAATATGTACCAAACACCTTGTTTGCCCTCCAGGTCTGGTTTCAGAACAGGCGAGCAAAAGAGAAGAGGCTGAAGAAGGATGCAGGCAGACAGAGGTGGGGTCAGTACTTCCGCAACATGAAGAGATCGCGAGGCAGTTCCAAATCAGACAAGGACAGCATCCAGGAGGAGGGCATGGACAGCGACGCTGAGGTCTCCTTTACAGGTATGATGGGAAAACAAACAGACAGACATCTGAGATGATGTATTCACAGGAATCTAACGAAAGGGATACAGATGGCAGCCTTTACGCTCCTATTTGAGGAATTATGAGAAATATTATTATCACAATTATAATACAAATGTCTTCTTGAAATTATTTGTTATCCCCTAAAGTGCATGGCGGAAATGGACATAGCAAATTTATAAACCACACATTTTGGTTTATTCCCATTCAAATTTGAATGTAACCTCTATTTACCCAAATAATTTTAATTATTACATCTAAATTGTATATGAATGACCAGAATCAAACTAATATCAGCAGGAAATTGAACTAGCACTTAAATAAAGCCACACCCTGACTAAGTATCCTCCCTTGTGTTCCAGACGAGCCACCCATGTCAGAGCTCAGCCACTCCAACGGCATCTACAGCGGCCTGAGCGAGTCGTCCCTGGCCATGGGGGGCCGCCAGGATGGCAGCCACGGCCCCTTCCCCCTGGAGCATGGAGTCCTCCCGTCCCAAGACCAGTACCACAACATCCGCTCCAGCAGCCCCTACAGCCTACCCCAGTCCCCAGGCTCGCTTCAGGCCCTGCCCAGGCACCAGCCCCCCATCTCCAGCCTGGTCTACCCTGACTCCGGCCTGTCCATCATGACCCAAGGCGGGCCCCCCGGGCTGAACACAGGCATGAGAGGAGTGTTGGTGGGCGCTAACGGCCCCAGCTCGGATCTGTCCACTGGCAGCAGTGGGGGCTACCCAGACTTCCCAGCAAGCCCAGCTTCCTGGTTGGACGAAGTGGACCACGGGCAGTTTTGATGAGCTGGGTTGATTGGTCAATGTGGTCTAAGGACTTCTCCTGGCGGGTGTCACGAACTGGAAAGAGACAGTCACACATGACCTGTGAAACAGAGAGACCGGGTCGGACGGTTGATGTCTTTCACCCTCCTTGGATCACTCAATCGCTCTCTATCAATTAACTGTCAATCTTTTTCATTTCTCCTCATCTGAGTGGACTGGAAGGAAGGATTGGGCCATCAAAAAGTATGAATGGTTGCACCTTGAACTCACACACTCCACTCCTCAAAGAGAACCAGACTGAGAAATATGGCGTGCATACCTGTTATGAATGATCATTTAGCGCTACTGACGGGGTGTTGATATGTCGCTTCGATAGCGTCAAGAGTAGGGTCTGAAAGGAAAGCACCTCACTTCTACAATCAGAACTTTTAACGGTCAGACAGACAGACTACTCCATCTCTGTCTTAAGTTTTCACAGCACTGCTCAAACTGTCCTCCACCATTGAACTATGTGTACAGCGGCTTTGGACGGTCATGCTTTTGATCCCTATGGTGTCATCAATATTACACCAGAGGAAGCTCACAGATACACACTATTTCCAGCTGTGATATCGTTGTGACAACATAACAAAGTCAGACTCCTGCCCAATTGGATTGCGATAGACTCTATCGCCAATCCTTTCCACCTTATTCTTCCCTTTGTTTTTCTTATGTGTACCGATGCAGGTTTTGGTTCAAGTCAGAGTCTTTACGTGTCTGGTTGTTGCCAAATGTCTATATATATTACGGTTTATCATTGTGGAGAATTTATTTTTATACAACCCTTCAACAATATGAATACCACAGATATTATTACTTTGTACATTGACAGCCAGGGATCTAGACATTTTGTAGATGTCGCCTCCCACCGATAACTAGAGGTGCAGTTACTTCTATGCATTTGTGTGTTTTCAGATGTATCTTGTTCTTTTCGTTCTAAGCTACCTGGGCATGCTGAAACCCAGGCGGGGGAACGTGTTTGTTTAGGTGGAAGATGTTTTATGTCTTATTTATTCTCTCTGATGTTGATGTTGATGATGATGATGATGATGATGATTAAGTGATACAGGTCTTTAATAAATGTGTCAGCTAAATCCAAACTGACCACTGGCTCTTGTATCACATCTTTATTATATTGACTATGGGCTGTATCTTTGGTTCTCTTCTATGTTAGATTAAAAATAAATGTTTTATACATATCTTAATTCTGCAAAACACTAACAGAAGCTAGGGTAATTGGGTTGGTAGCTTATCTTTCATATTCATCATTTATTTTCCTGGAGTATTAATTGCATTGATCTTACATCAGACTACAGATACTGTAGGAGAAAAGGAGATCTGGAGATCTGGCTGAGTCTGCAGATTGGCCGTCTGGCTAATTACCAAAGCCGTATCAAGAGTTCAACGGCTCTTTAGTGCAGAAATTTGATGCAGACTGAGAGGCAACATGTCGATTTAGAGATAACCGTGCCTTGTTTGCCCAAATGCCCCTACGGGATAAAAATCTTCAATCCATTAGCTTAGGAGGGATCGAATGCCCCTTGTGAATTTCCTCATTTGTTTACTTATTCAAAGTCGGGTTCAATTAAATAGATTAAACAGTGTGGTGTGTGTGTGTGCGTGCGTGCGTGCTTGGGGCGTGCATGCGTCTGTGTGACGTCAATTTCTTATTTTTTTTCACCCAGTGACAGAGAAGACTTGCATTGCAGTTTTATCTGTGCGTAGCATCATAGATGACACATTTAAAACCATGCTCACCCTGACGAAGACCATCAATCTGTACCATCTTTTAGATTGACCCTTTCGCCATCTACCAGCAATTTGCAGAGTGTTCCAGGAGACCTGATCATGAACAACTCTGGACTTTACTTAGCTAATGCTTTATAACCTAAGACGTCCTAAATATTAGTACAATTTTAGATTTTGGGGGGTAAGTAAAACCAACAAGATCTCACAAACTCTCTGCACAAACTGATGTTTGTCCAAAAGACGTACCTCCCTGGTCTAATAATAATGATCTGCCTATGGCAGCACTGTAACATGAGGATTCACCACATCTCACCTTAATATGAGAGTAGAATACCAAGCACGTTGATAAACAATAGGCGCTGTGTTTGAATAACTGTGCATTGTCAGATTTAACCTAAGCACTTACCATAATTGCTGCAACTAAATATTATTTCCAGGGGTTGGAAGATAGATGCTTTTAGAAACATTGGCTGAAGAAAGTTTCTCAGACTGTGCATTGTGTGTGTTTTGACATAGACATATTAGTCCCAAAATTAAAATGGCCTTTTAATAGCCTTTTTGACACAGGTATTTTAGATTTTTTGACACAAGCCCGTAACTTCTTCAGTTTAGGGTTGGACGGCTGGCTCTTGTTCTCAGGTTGCAAGAACAAGAACACAACACTTCAACTTAAAATCAAATCCTTCCACCTGAGTGGCGGCTGTCACTATTGCCATGCTAAGGCAACAGGTGCGTAACCCTATCCTAGGGTGCCCTGCAAAGACTGGGTGAGAGTGAAGTGTCAAAGGCAGTACTAATCTCCCCCGATCCCTGCCATGGTCAGTTTACGGAGCAGTTCCCATTTGGGCTGAGCCAGGCGGATTTGTCAATGAGACGGAGGAACACAACACATCAGGATGTCTCAAGCTCCCACAACAGCCTTTCTAAGCCCTACCAGCTTCCTGGTTTAATATTGCCCCACCCCTTCCCTCTACTCCCTCGACTGGTATGAGGAACCCTGGGAGAAAAAAGGTGAGATCGGGATGACCTGACGATGAACTGTGTACAATGTAAACAAGTGAGATTATCCCCTCCACTCTTTCAGATTAATTTGGGTTTCCTCCGTGGCTTTGTATGTGTAAGTAATTTTGGGGGTTGAATGTGGCTGGGTAGTTTTAAGTGGATGGAGGAAAAGGAATTAGACAAATGTGTGTTATCTTTTGGGGAAAGGGAATGTGTTGAGTGTGAATGTATTGTGATGATATCAGGTGTATGTTGTAAGTATTTAGGGTATAATCATTTGTTGTACGGGTTCAATGTTAGTGAAAGGCCTCAGTGTGTATGTGTGTGTGTGTTACATGTTTGACATGACAGGTGACTGGCACATATTCTTCTGCAGACAATAGCTGGATCCTGTAGTGTGTAGACCACCTCCCAGGAGGTATAGATTGTTGTTGGCAGTAGGAGTATTTGATTGAAAGCTACTCAACCAGATATATAATCCCCAATGGAGCATTTAGAAAAATCATTCAAAGTCAGATGTGCAAAAATGAATTAAAATTGACAATAAAAAAAAGAAAATGAAATACAACTGACATCCACACACTTTCTCATTTCACAAATTATATTTTATATCGATAGATACGAGACATTCAGTAACAAAAATACCACTGTCACAATCAGTGGTTTCAGGATATAATGTTACTTTGACTTTTAATGTCAGCTGTTAACAGGCTGTTACATTAGTTGACTGTAACATTGGTATTTTGCATGAGGTTGTTGCTATTTACTGTTGCACTGTAGCAGTGTACTGTTGGTTTAAGCTGTTGTATTGAGCTGTCCCTGCCCTAAGCAGCTTGATGCCTGGCTGCTGGCTCTCTCCTCTCTCCTCTCCCTCCTTCCCTCTAAGACCCCAGCGAGTGTCCGCCTCATGTCAGATGGCTGGGAGTAAATCAAGCCTGACAGTAACACCTCCACTGGGCCCCTCATGTCACAGCCAGTCGTGGGGGGGCGGTGGAGCCACCAGCCAGTCCTGTTGCTGATGGTAGAGAGGAGGAGGGTTGGAGGGTTGGAGGGAGAGGGAGAGAGGGAGGGGGGAAGAGGGGAAGAGGGAGAGGGAGGAGAGGAGGGGCTCAAAGGATTACCCCAGGCGCTGATTTCAGTAAACAATCAATTAACTCAAACTGTTAATGAATAGCAGCCTGTGGTGGTGGTGTCTCTGTGGCCCTGTAGCAGCACAGATGCAGTGGTTAAGTGGTTGGCTGAGGAGGGGGAGTGTTGTGTCGTTGTGTTTGGTAGAGATGTTCTAACAGGCTACAAGGATAGAGTGTGGTTTTGGTTTCTAGAAATGGTTTGATAATGGTTTGACAGGAATGTTGCTTCTTAACAATTTGACAGGCATCTAAATGTTAGGGCATATCATAGTTTAGAAAAATACACCAGCCACCTGTGACACACACACACACAAACGTGTAAAAACTGCAAACACAGCATCAACACTTTTGTTTATACCGCAGATTACTGTCCACAGCATTGTTAGAGCGATCAAACTAATCATCACGCCCATTACCATGTTTTTACTGACGACTTTAATCAAATCCATTACAGACCTGCCTCGCGATAATCCGCTCTCAGCATAATTATCTCTTCATTTCATACTTTGACTGGAATACAATGTCTGGTAATCTGGAATGGTTGACTGAAATGTATTGAGGACCATTCATATAGCGAATGTGTAAGCTATGTATCATCTAATCTCTCGACTTCCTCAAGCTGGCTCTTAGATGTCGGCCATTTTTCATTTATGCAAAATCACTGGGAAACACATCATTTATGTAATACTTACCATTGTTAAAATGTTAAGTATGATTTTCCAAGAAAATGTGGTAAGCACTTCATGTACTTACTAGCTTGTTGCAGGATAATATAACATAGGTTATTCCTGGGGACTCTGTGTAATGTAAATTGTTGCTTTACACTGTTAGCATATTATTTTTATTTAATCATTATTTGACTGACATTTACTAACTAACTAAGAGTAGCACTTGTTGTATCATGTCACAGTATTGGTTTACTCATTACCAATGGGTCCTACTGCCGCTACACACTGCTCCTTAACCCTGTGGCTGCATGCTGTGGTTGACACAGTAGTACCTCACAGAGTTGTCATCACGATTCATAATGGCACACATTTATTTTCCCAAGGTGGGATAATCACCTGCTTTCTCATTAAGGCGCCGGGGCTGCTCTGTGGGTCCCTGGGGGGCCCTGACGTCTATGAGCTGTTAACAGCTCCCAGGGGGGCCCTGTCTGGCCCTGCCAGACCCCCCACGACCCCACAGCCTGCCACACGGCTCACAGACACAGATGGGCCCAACAGCCGCCCTCCATCCGCCACGCTTTTCAATTACCATCCCACCAGCAGAGGCCATTCCTCACCAGCCACCACTCTGTGACAGTACAGGGAAAGGAAGGTAGGGAGGGAGGGGGGTAAAGAGAGGAATGGTTGAAGAGAGAAGAGAGAAGAGAGAGGAAGATGGGGGGTGGAAAAAAGGCGATATACACAGAAAAACAGAGAAGGGGGTGAGGGAAAAATAGAAATGAGAACAGGAGAACGAGAAAAAAGGTAGAGAAAAATTCAGCATGTCTCCCGGCACACACCTGACAGTATATTGATCTGCATAGATTACACATTCCCCTTGTAGCAGAGGGACTGAGGCAGCGACATGTTGACAACAGGGGAATTACTTTGTTTGGTATAAGTGAGCAGCAGCACGTCTATGGTGGATGGTAGAGTGTCTCAGTCCAGGAACAAAAGAGGCCTTCCAAGCCTAGTATCAGCCTGATATCTGATTGGAGGAGGTGATAAATCACTTAGTGAGATTGTTGCTCCAGTGGAGAGGAGGGGAGACGGGAGGGGGAAGTCTGGGCACTCCTGCCCATGCATGTCTCCTCCAAGGCGTGGAGAGCGAGTCCGGGAGCTGGGGTGGGGTCCAAGGGACACGGGCTCAGCTGACACCCCTGTACACACTTGTGAGTTTTTAATTTAAATATGGCTTTACAGGGCTTGGGGGTGTTAAAGCACTAGGTGCCAGCATCCCTCATATTGTCCATCCTTCATTAGCATTAGGACTCTACCCTCCAGACTGCTTTTGTGGGATCCTATTTTCATTTTTCAGAAATAGGTTTATTCAAATAATATTTCTGAACATAACCTCACCAGGCCCTCTTTACATTTGACATTTTAGTCATTTAGCAGACACTCTTATCCAGTTAGAAAAATGTCAACCCATTTTTCCAGAACATTCAAAAAAACG